AAGATCATTTAGGTAAATAAACAAAATCATTTTGTGTTACATATTTAGTCTATTAAATGGAATATTACGTTTTTCATGATATTTTGTACAATAAAAATTTTGAAAATTTACGAAAAGCTTTTCGTAATATTCCGTAAAAATTAACGAAATCTTTTGATATAAAAAAATTTCGAAAATTTCTGCAAAAATTTTCGCAAAATTTTACATCAAAAAATTTACAGAAATTTATGCAAAAATTTACGGAAATTTTACATCCCGAAAACTTATGGAGTTATTCGCCTTTAAAAATTTCCTGATGTTACCAGAAATTCAATTACCAATTTCTAGAACTAATCCAAATAAAATTTATCAGCCAGAAGTAGACTTACGCCAATATGTCATCGAACATGAAATGGATCCCGAGAAATTTGCTGTCATTACTGAGGCTGAGAAAAATAGATGGGCCATGGGATGCTTTCGTGGGGAATTGGAAAGAGATATACATTTCTATTGTAGTGGAATAGAAAGAAAAGAAGACCCTAGAAAATATCATAAGTTTTTAACGGATCGGGAGAGGTTAGTTGGTGAAGAGTTATCGCATCGTGGTATATTAAAAAACGGTTTAAGTACTGTATGGCTCGATAATCTTATAGAAGAATGGGAAAAAATTCATACTCAATTTACACGGATATTTAACTAGGATACAAATTAATTATAATATATATCTATTACACGTTTAACTTTAATATCTATTGTTGGATGTGTATTCCGAGATTTTATTCTGTATGTTATATAACTTATAATGCACATAAATAAATCATTTTTTCACAATCACACGGGGTAGCTTCCTTGGGGCACTATACTTATTTTTTCTGCATGACATGCTTATCACCAGAAACAATTGGTGATATTATTATATGACAAATGCATCATATACACGAATCCGTGAAATATGGAAATTCACTACTGCGATAAATAATTAGTAAAGCTAGCAAGGCCAATATATATACATAACTTAATTTACCCGAATTCTTGGTATTATTACAAATAAGTTTTATTTGACTTCAAATATATTAATAATAAAATAAACGTATATTGATACAATTATCTGTGACATGCATGTTACGCTGGCGCAATATGGCGTAGTAATCATTTCATATCTTTATTTCTCAAACATTTTACAATTATAAAATTTATATTGCTCTGGCTTAAGTTTGAAATAGAATACAACGAAAATGATCTAATTAGTACTATTTTTTGTTTTGCAATTTTTTCATCACCATTAACGATAGCAGTAAAAAGCTTATATATTTTCCGAGCTCTTTCTATTCTCTTTCGCAATGCAGTATCACTTACTTTTGAAATTTGTTTCCTAACATCATCAAAAACTAAAGCATTAGATGCTTCTTTACCATTATCTTTTTTGTACTCTTTATATTGTTTATATAACCCCCCACCTAAATCAAAATAGCTATTGATTACCTCTTGATTTGTGATTTCATTCCTAGATTCGGTGTAATCAATTTTTTTGAATAAATATAAAAAATTAATACTACCCCCCTTCCAGAACACTCTCTTCAACAACTTCACCAATCTGCGGATAAATATAGTTAGATAGTAATTCATCAATAAGCTTTTTCAGGTTCACCGATTTTTCTCTATCGACTGGTTTAACTTCCTTCTTTGCCTTCTTACTAGGAGATTTATCTAGCATATACTTGCACGTAAAATTATTTTGAAACCCGAAACCTGAAATATAAATACCCCAAAATTGACCCTAAAATACCATTTCAAAATTTTGATATTTCAAAATTAAAATGGGAGTCGAAATTAAAATAAAAGTCGAAATTAAAATGGGGGTCGAAATTAAAAATAAAAGTCGAAATTAAAAATAAAAGTCGAAATTAAAATAAAAGTCAAAATTAAAATTAAAATTAAAATTATTAGTAAAAATT